TACTGTGGCTGAGGCTTCTAGGTTTCCACACTTGCCATACATTCCCATGATGGCAGCGGCTAGCTCTACCTCGTCGCCAAGCTCTACAACACAAGCATGGATCAGTTTGCTCTTGAGAAAGAACTTTGAGTTTGAACAAACCTTAAGCATCGCTAGCAACGTAATCTTGTCCGGTAGAAAACCTTGGAGCTGCATCTGCTGGAACAAGTTGATAGCTTCTTCGTAGTGTGCATAATGTACGTAGGCTCCGATGATAGTGTTCCAGGAAATTAGATCCTTGCGAATTTCTGCAAACACTCGGACTGCCTCTTCCAAGCTCCCACACCTCGCGTACATGTTCATGACAGCGTTCATGAGGCTGGCGAGGCCCCCGAGTCCCAGTTCTCGAGCGTGAGAATGGACCATCCTGCCCACGGCGAGGAAACAAGAGCGATCCAAGGCGTCAACAATCGTCAGCAGAGTCACTCTATCCGGCTTGATTCCCTCCAGCTGCATGAGTCCGAAGTACTGCATCGTCGTAGCACTGTGTCCTTGCTTCGTGCTCGCAGCCATCCTTCGTGTCCACAAGACAACGCTGTCGTGGTGAGGAGCATAGTTGAACAGCACGTCCAGATTCTGGCCCTTGGAGTAGAGGCTAAAGATTGCTGCTTCCACCCGGACGTCTGCATGGAATCCTTTCTCGATAGCCTGCTCGTGAAGAACCCGGCCCTGTTCCAAATCCCCGAGACCACTGCAAGCGTTGAGAGCCTTGACAAAGCTCGACCTGTCCGGCACCACGTCCATCTCCTGAAAGAGCCTCAGCACTTCTGAGTAGTCAAACCTCCGCATATAAACGTCCATCATCGCATTCCAAGTTCTCACGTCCTTGGCGAGAACACCCTCAAAAACCTGTCGCGCATGGCCAAAATCCGGAAGCATTGAGACGAGAGCAGTCCCAACGATGGTCTCGCTGTCCCGGCCAGTCTCCACGGCGATGGAGTGGAGTAAGCGAGAGGCTCGGCCTCGATCTTCCAGATTCCCGCAAACGCTGATCACCGTCGCGAGAGTGGGACTATCCGGAGGAACTCCTTCCAGCAGCATGGTGTGAAAAACCGAGAAAGCCGAGTGGAAGTGGAATTCTCGAGCGAGAGCGCCTATCATGCTGGTCCATGGAACCGGGCCGCGGTTGGGCATTTTGTAGAAGGAGCGCTGGGCCTCGTCGGGGCGACCACAGGCGAGATACATGACCACAAGCCTGTTTCCAAGGAACACGTTAGAATCCAGCGCGAGGTTGGAGATGCGAGCATGAACCAGCAGACCTTGGTGGAGATCCTTGCTCGCGGCGCAGGCATCCAGGAGCTGCGCATAGTCGTCGGGCGATATTTCGGCCCGCCTCTCGACAGACGATCCATGATGAAATTCAGTGCTGTGGGCAGCATTGGAGAAATCTTGTCCCGGAGATCGATTCCTCAAGGATAGGATTCCTGAGAATCGAGACTTACTGCGCAGCATTCGCTAGCTCATCGCCGCCCTCCCTCCAAATGCCGGATCGACTTGAAAATGCCGCTCCGCATAAACCCTAACGTAGGGTTTACCACGTGTCACGCTTGAATTTGGCCACGTAGAGAAGATATTCCCATCGCATATTTTTCTCCTCCTCCGCTGTTCTTGGGCTTTTTCGTCGTCGCAAGGGCTACATCGTTCGTTCGCGGGGCGGAGGTAAAAGCCGCAGCTTTTAGGTCTTCGTTCGCTCGATTGATTGCTACATTCTTTCGCAGAATCTCCGATAATCTGTCCATGGCGTCGCTAGCTGCCGCCGTCGTGCCATCGCTCGTCGCGTCCTCGTCCAGGCCCCAAATCTGCCACGCTCTCCTCGCCACTGGGCGACAATTCCTCAGGCAGCGCTCGTCCGCGCTCCAGGCATCGCCATCCCTGTACAGTAGAAGCTCCGTCTATGGGGCGACCATCTCCAGGGCGCCATCGCGGAGCCTCGCCACAGCCGCGGCGGTCGGCACCACCACCACAAAGCCGAGCATCGCGGTCGGGGAGAGGATTCCCGATGGAGAGCTCTCCTACTTCGACGAGAGCGGCGCCATCCAGAGCATCAAGGTGTCGGACCTGACGAGCAAGAAGAAGGTGGTGATCTTC